TAAGTCTATATGTACTTTACCTAAAAGATAACTATATATATATATATATATATATATATATATATATATATATATATATATATATATATATATATATATATATATATATATATATATATCAGATAACTAATATATATATATATATATATATATATATATATATATATATATATATATAATATATATATAATGAACTAATATATATATATATATATATAATGTTAAAATAAAAAGCTGAACATCAACACTTAGAAAACCCTGGGTCCTCGCTTTTGTCAGGGACGAATTGCGTTTAAAATGAAATAGCCTGTAATTTTAAGTGTTGAATTTCAATGTTCACTTTCTTTATTTAAAACACACTATCTCTGATATTGAGCACTTTATCCCATAAATATAAAGCACACCTTAAGACTATATTTCTTTATATATATATATATATATATATATATATATATAAAATAAACATAGTTTTAAGGAATGCTATATTCCTATTAAAACAGGATGTGACACAAGGTCGCATTTTATGTGGGGGAGCACCATACACATATGTATACATATAGGGCAAAGACAAAAAAAAAATCTGCCCGGCCCTGTGCAACACAAAAAGGTGCTGTGGGGTGGAATCCACGGAACAGGGGTTCTCCCATCTAAAATAAGAGATATTTACACAATTTGTGTCAGTGCGTATATATATATATATATATATATATATATATATATATATATATATATATATATGTGTGTGTGTGTGTGTGTGTGTGTGTGTGTACAGGGTGCGATGGATGGTGCAGAGTCCTGTTGCTAGACATACGGTCTTCAAGTAGCCAACCTTTTGATCCAGGGCAGCACTACCTCTTCAAGGCACTTGATGTAGGCTTCGGTGTTGAATCTGAGGGCCTCACCAACAAATTTGGGAGATTTTTCTTATCAAAACGATTAGAGTAATTTTTCCGATTACCTTTGTAAGCACCATTTAGATTCATCTCTTTCCGAATCCTCTGCATTGTCCTTAGATTGACATCTAAATTCTCTGAAATGTTCGTATTGGAGCTTCCTATGAAATATATTTTTATAGTGAAGGTGCCAGCAATACATTTTCGTATTAAACAATTACCAACAATTCATTTTTGTAAAAGAAGTTACTAAGGATTTCTAGGAAATTAAATTTCGGCATTAAATGACCCATAAGATGATATGTCGTACCAATTTCTGCCCAGTCTTCAAAATTTTAGTAACGTGTGAAATGAAATCACGTGTACAAATGCTATCTATTGAAATACAGCTATAAACTCTTGTTCCAATCCAGTACTAAATGGTTGGATATTTTGCGGACAAATATATGTGTAAAAACCAAGCGCCGATAGGTTGCAATGGACGAATACTCATATAGTAGCTAATGTGAAATGACTTTCTACTTCATTGATTAGTGGGATTGTCAATCAAGTCATCGATAAAAGGTTCGATCTTCGCTGAATGCTATAAAATTCGTCTTGAAAAATCATTTCGTGCAATCAAAATAATTCGATAGGGTAAGAAGATTATGTTGAATCAATCTTCCAAGTATGGAAGGCATGTTTGATTTGCAAGTTAGCATTCGAAATCGTGCCTTAGGCTCAAATATTAATAGTGCCGATAGAAATACGCAACTATCTTCACATAGGCAGTATGGCAGAAGATCTCTCATATGACGAAGCTTTAACAGCCAAGGGCGTGGGGTAGAGAAACTGGCTTGTAACTTTCAATACCACTAAAACAAAGTTAGTGACGTTTCCTCATCGCCAAGCAGACCATGAATTCTTACCTGTCACGATGAATGTTAGCAATCTCAGAGAGGATTTTTGCATTGAACGTCAATTGGCACTCAAATTCAAGCAAGACCTCAAGTGAAATTCATCTATTCGATTCATTGTTAAAGACGCTGGAAACATTGTCAGCTCCTTGTGTCACCCAGAAAGTATCTGACTCCACCTGCCATACTCCGACTTTATAAGAGTTAGATGTAACCAAAAATGCAGTATTCTTACCATATAGCTGTCCAATCCTCTCTTTCCAAACTTAACAAAAGCTTTTACGCGGTCTTGTAGGTGATGAATTATTTCCACCATACATTTTTTTTTATCCACAGTCGCGACGTCGCAATCCCATCGCTGTTCTATAGTATTTCCATGGAAAATGCTCTAACAAACTATATTCTCTAGTCCCAACCGGCCAGTCCTTTACAGTTAAGACTCGCTATGCCATGTACACAGGAGTGAACCAACTTCATTCCCTTCTTATTCCAAGAAGGAAGTTCCATTTTTAATTGAGTTTATCCTAAGCTGGTAAAGCCACTAAGACACAAGTGGTTATTGGCTGTGGAAGAATTAGAAAACTGAAACATTACTCAGGAGCGGGAACGAAAAAAAAAACGAAGAGTAATCAGGAGGACAGTAGATAGCAACTGACATTGCATTTAAATTTTTGAAGATTAAAATTGGTTGTAGAGCATGTAGCCGGAATAGAGTTCCACAATTGAGAAGTGCGAGAAAAGAAACAATTAGCCTAGAACTTACTGTTACATATAGCCAGCTCAACTGTAAATTGATGAAAGCTCGTTGCCAATCTAGCACTGCGCTTAAATTCATAAAGTTTAGGTACCATAGCGAAGGGTGATATTTAATTGTATAAAAAGGCCAAAATGGGGAGTGAAGAAAAAGGTTGGTCGTCTTCTGTCTTAACATTAAACTAAGCTAGCCACAATCACTGACCCAAACATACTACGATATTCCTTACACCAAAAAATACATTCTTGCAACAGACACCATAATACCTCAATGTCTTTATGAAGTCCTAACTAGTTTCATATATAAAATTCTTGTCGGGCGGGGAGGATATAATAACTATCTAAAAATCTAAACCCCATAGCAAAAAGCTCATCCGAACAATTACCATGAAAGTATTTATAAAAAAAAAGACACAGGTAGGCAACCAATAATATTGCTGATACTTCTTTGGATTATATCAAGGATCTCTATATATCAAGGAGCAGCACCGGACCATATGTGGCAGTAATATTCTAAACATGGACGAATGGTAGACATATAGGTCTGCAAGATAGATTCTGCAGAGAAAAATTATCTAGCACGACGCTGTGAACCAACTTTCTTAGCAGCCGACTTAGCAATATTTGGACAGTTTCTTCCCAAGAGCCACTACTTTTTGGAACAGACTCCCAAGAAGATACTTCGCCGACCATTATAATCTTAACCTCTTCAAGTCCAGGGACATCCATTTTCTATCCTACATATCTTCACAATCTAAAATTCTTACGTTAACCTGATTCAGTAATACTTCACTTTGAGTGGCTCGTGGGCCTTGTGCTGGGAGAACAATAGCGTAAAAAAAAACCATATACACTAATAATGACAGCATGAAATATGCACGTCAGCTTGGTGAGCGAGGTAGTTGTGTATTTCTATACGCAAGTAAAAGGCAGAAATTTGAATGTTAGTTTTTAAATCAAATGGGTCTTTCCTACTTTGGAGACTGGCGCAACATAGTCTTCCTACCCATGGATGAAGTTAAGATCAAGTTAGGTATATATGCATGCATAGAAGACTTCACTCAGTCAAGTGCCATACGTAATACACGCTTGGGTGATCACGTCTCTTTCGATTCATGACTGACTAGGCAGAAAACTTTTCCGCAGTAGGTTGCTATTTCTTTCTGAGATAGACTGGTTGCCAACCAAGGCTATAGGACCCAGTCTGTCCTGCTATTCAACCCATAGCTATTGGGTCAGAAAAGATGGATTCATATCTTTCTCAAGGGTATTTGCTAGTAAGTGAATGTAACGAACCCGACTGGAATTCGAACTCGGCTCTCCCATTTCTCATTCGAGTCGTTATCTACTACACCACACAAGATTTACAGAGTATAAAAACGACATCAAAATCCCCAAAATAGATTTATTTTTAATTAAATTAGCCGAATGCCCGTTCACCGTACATTTTTATTAATAATTATTATATACCGTACCTATGAACACTAATAGGTATGTCCCAATCCTCATAAATACGTTGGACACTATAAATGTGTATGAGGGGGGGATGATGTCTAAGGAGTCCACCACTAACAGTGGTTTACCTAATTCACGCCACTGGCGAGTATTGTATTTTGTTGATGTTATACAGATTGCTATTTCATTGCCAACCTCCGTTTTGATTATTCCTCATTCAGTAACCCTTTCTAGGTTACAGCAATAAGAATTCAATGATTCAGCAATCTATATCATTTTGGTTATCTGAGTAATTTTCTAATTATTGTATTATTATTATTAATAACAATTGTGGTGTCCCTCGCTTCGTTAGTTCGCACGACCGTTACACCCTGCCAATAGCTCATAAATAATGGAGTATTCCGTTTTGATCGCGTGGAAAGAGGGGAGAATCATTATTTGTTTTCAGTGAGAAAATGGAAATGTTGTCAATTTCAAATCTTTTCATTTGTACCCACTTTTTAAAATAACAACCAGCATTCATATTTATTATTGTTATTGCAATATTTTGTTGAAGTTGTTAAGCTCAAATATTCAACGATGTGATAGGGAAAATTCTACAGATATTTTATTGTCATACAACTCAAAATGAGCTTATTCGATCATTAACTTAAAAATTAAGATACATCAGAAAATTAAAATGAGAAAACCGTGAAATTTTCACGGGTATTTCTAGTAAAAATGAATCTATGAAGCTTTGTATCTTTTTACTTATTTAATGCGTTAAGCGCGAGCCATCATTTACAAAATCTGACGTCCACAGCCAATTTTATAATAGTCAACATAGGCAATAAAAAATCTTTTTACGAGTTGATTTATAGCTTCAATTGAAATCTTAACATTGTTGTCACACTAAACGTAAACTTGTTATTGGCGGCCTCAGATGAAAATGTATCAGAAAATACCAAATAAGAGATAACAAGTAGTTGACGACATAAGAAAAGCTACACTTATGGCGACATAACATTGAAATATCGGTTCCCTTACGATCATCGAAGTTAAGCAACGTTGAGCCTGGTCAGTATCAAGATCGGTGACCGTTTGGGATTATCAGGTTCTGTAAACTTGGATGGGCTTGTGGTGTAAAAGGCTTACGGCTATATCACGTTAAAACACCGGTAACTGTACGATCACTGAAGTTAAGCAACGTTGAGCCTGGTCAGAACCTACATGGGTGACTGCTTGGAAGTGTTGATGGTGTAATGGATAATGGCTCGGAATTGTTAATAGGTGAGCCGAGTTTGGTTTGCTTGTTTAGCGATATATTTAAAGCAGAAATTTAATTTTCTTGAGACCATTGCTGGTAACTATTTTTTTTCAAGGAAATGTATTGCTGGTATTTTTACTATAAAAAAGTATTTTTAGATTTTCCTTGGGTTTTGACCCCAGTTCGAGGGGTTAAATATTTGCTCATAGTTGAGACACTAACAGGTGCTACCACCCGGGTCAAGGTGAACCTAGGAACAACAGCAATTAAGAGGTGGCTCTACGCTCTTCAAAACCTCCAGATCAGTTGCCTTGCTGCCGGATGTATTTTATCGTCATACCCAGGAAGGTCGGAGAGCCGAGTTCCAATTCCTGTTGATGTTCATTATATTCACTTACGCGCAAATACCATTGGGAAATGTATGAATGCATTTTCTCTCCCCAGCTATGGGTTAATTAGTAAGACTTGCATTACTAAACCATTATTATCTCAAAAAAATTATAAAAGATAATTGTCACAATATAAAAATATTTCCTGGCTTTAAATAACCTGCAAAGGGTTTATAAACTGTAGAAAACCAACCAATCAATCAATCAATAATAAAACTCCCAACCACGAGTTATCTATAATTTTCGGCTTCGTGCATCTAATTTGTAAAAATAGCAAACAGCATTAAAAAATCCTAACTAAAGTCGCTGGGTCTAAAATTGTGGGATTCTGTAAAAATGTTAATAATTTAAAAAAAAAAATGATGTCCGCTTATTGATAATATGAAAGAAACATTATTTTCAAAACATAATATTCGATTAAATATTTTTGACATGTATTTTTTCTTTTTTCCTCTCTTGTAACAGATTTGACAAGGCAGATATAAATTTCTATATGAATCCGAGGAAAAAAAATATTTATCGACCGAAGCTTATATATGACATTTTTTAAAATATGAATTAAAATAAACAATATGAAATATTAAAAATTTGCACTTACAAACTGCCAAGAAAAAAGTTGTAAACGCAACTTAGGAGTAGATAGACACGCTTATGACCTGGTTCCAATTGGGTTCGTTATATTAAATTACGAGCAAATAGCATGGAAAAGGTATGAATCCACCTCTCCCCAAAGAAGAATCAGCAATATTATCGGTCCTGACCTGGCAGCCCAGCTTCAATCACTTTCCCACCGCCGTAAGGTTATCTCACTGTGCCTTTTTTTTTAAATAAATACTTTCATGGTAATTGTTCGGATGAGCTCTTCGCTATGGTACTAAGACAGTGTAGTTTTAAGTGCAGTACTATACTGGCGTCGAGATCTCATTAATTTATAGTTGAACCAGCTAGATGTAGCCGTAACTTCTATGCTAACAGTTTCTTATGTCGCACTTCTCGCTTGTGGAACTCCCCCCCCCCCGGCTCCCTGCTTTCCAACCAGCTTTAATCTGTAAAAATTTAAATGCAATGTCAATCGTTATCTACTGTCCTCCTGATTGCTCTTTTCTCTTTCTTCTCATTATTGTTTCTGTTCCTAATTCCCCACACTCTGTAGCCCCTTGCGTACTAGAGGCTGTACTGCTTTACTTGGGGTGATACCGATTAAAAAAAAAAGCTATGAGTTAATTAGTAAGACTTGTATCACGAAAATCATTCTATCTCAAAAAATTATTGCGTACAAAATATTTAGATTTCGGTATTAAATAACTCATAGCGGTTGATAAGCCACTAAACAAAAACAACCAGCCAATCAACTAATTATCCTCCCTTCGAAAAAATTCCCAAACATAATTCTATTGAGATAGTTGTCAACACTTCATAAAAACATCTACATCCGTGTTAAAAATGCTTTTCTGCGATATTTTAAACTAAAAGTAATATTTGTTTCCAATAACATTTATTAAATTGTTAAATCAGCTAATCTTCGTCAAATGAAAAGTACATTTTATTTTTGAAAGTTTTCTTTTTAATAAAGTGAATTACGTTGTGCTGATAGATTTTTAAATCTAGTTAAGATCAGCCATTTTTAGCGATTTAAGAAAAACCTATTCTAATCAATTTAAATTAATTTTGAAATACCGCAAAGTATTTTGCTTATTGGAAATATTAAATCTTGAATTCAAACTAAAATAAAAGAAAGCTTTTTTTTATTTTAAAGCTAAGGTATCGCTTTTCTTTGGTGCTATATATATATATATATATATATATATATTATATATATATTTATTTCTGATAACTAAATGATTGCTTATGTGGTTTAGTTCTACTGATGTAATATGAGGACACAGACAAAATTTAGCCTGACGCAAATATATAAAAAATGAAGCAGAAAAATACCACAATTAAGTAAATATCTTAGTAACAAAAAATCGTTAAACAAATGCTTCGTAAGGCAAATAAGCGTTAAACAAAGAATTCAAAATTTCCTTCCTGTCTGGTGTATGTCAACGAATAAACCCAGACCCACGTCATCACCAAATTCTTGACGTGGCGTTTTCTTATTGACTGGCAGCTTGTAATCTCTGTCCGTCTTGTTATTTTGTGGCTGACAAAATTTGATTGGATATAACTTCAAGACAGACCCCCGCTCGACTTACGAACAACCTTTCCATTTCTTCCGAAGTTAAATATTTCAGAATGTCGTTGAGTTTCACCTGAAAATTGTGAAGACGTGTGTCTATGTGAATATATAACTTGTCAACTTTGACACAAGTTGACTTATTTTCAACCTCCTGAGTATCGAGTTCATTTGATAATGAGCTCAGTGTTCAGGTTGAGAATGCTAATGATTTCTCTTCGCAAGCGAACCACATTAACAGTTACACGACAGCAGATTATAAGCCTGAAAAATGAAACAATCTCTATCATAATAAAACTCTAATCTTGTCTGTATGTATGTGCGTGAATTCCCGAGATACAACTTAAACGATATATAATCCCCTAACCAATTTAAGAGCATATTGCACCTTGAACCCCTGTCGAGTGCAATGCCAAATTTCATTCAAATTATACAAGGGCTTTTTTGAGCTAGGTCATTTCTCTATTTTTATGACATTTTTAATAGGAACTTCAGTGTTTGTTTTCGATACACAGTCTTATATAAATCTGCGTATATAAACAAACCCTTGCATATTATATTCCAACTATTATGTGTATAAAAAATAATAAACATTCATAATAATAACCTATATATATATATATATATATATATATATATATATATATATATATATATATATGTATGTATATATATATATATATATATATATTCACTGGTTTAAGTTCTATTTTAAATAAACAACTACTTAAAAGGTGACATATCACTTAACGGTAAATAAATTGATGCACGTTGATTTGCCGCCGTTACGCATTTTGAAATAAATGCGAGGAAGAAACAAGAATGTAAAATAAATATACGTATTATTTAAAAAAAAAAAAAGACTACACCTGTTTTAAGCTATTACTCCTAATTTTCACACAATATGTTAACTATGAAGACCAGTGCCACAATAAACCTACTTTATCGCCTTTAGAATTAACTAGCAGTAGAGCCAGGCGTTGCCCGGGGATGTAACAGTAAGAGATAGATCAAGTATCGACCATCATAAAGACTGAAAAATAAAATTGACAAAGATTATTGTTTAAGGTTGACAGACACGCATGTCTTAATTAGATTTTGTTTTGTTTTTTTGTTTTTTAACGAATTGGTCAAACCCAAACAAAAACATTGTTTTCACTCGTTATGAGTCTATCGATTGAATAGAATTTTTCAATTTTATTATAAACAATTGTCTTGTAAATGGAATTTTTAAAGCATTCTGAATGTAAAAATAAAGAAAAAAAGTGTGCAAGAAAATAAGAAACACTACCTGCCAAAAAAAAAAGTGAAGTTTTGTTGAAATCGGTTGAAAGATGTAGGAAATCCGATCCCATATATAAACGAACACACACACAAGCAACCTGGGTTTTATAATAAGTATAACTCGATATGAGTTGTCCCCCTTTCATTAATGCCTCTTAATCGTGTTTTCAAAATGATTTCGTATAAAAGCAATTGTGTTTTTCCAATCTTGGGCACTGTCAGAACCACCGCAAGGTAATTTTACGTAGTCCTGTGAAGTTTTGTTGAAATCGGTTGAAAAATGTACGAAATCCGATCCAATATATAAACGTACAAACACACACAATCTGCGTTTTATAATAAGTAAGATTATTAATTTTGTGTTCAAAGTACATTTTATGAAAGAAATTTCTCTTTTAATGTAAAAAATAATATATATATCTATTGATGTAGTAAAATAATTTATTTTCATACTCGAAATCAGGATATATTTACATTAAAGCCTTTTTTTTCATGTTTTATGTTATTCCACCAAATTTTCACACAATGTATTATCTAAAAAGCACAGTGGAACAATAAACCTCCTCTTCCTCTTTAAATACAAATTAAAGTGTGTAATTAATAATAAAATTGATAATATTGTTATCATGATATTTTGTATCATAAACTGCTTTTAAAAGAAACGTGGGATTATGGGATATATATATATATATATATATATATATATATATATCAAGTATGTGGTGCAGTTCAATTTACAATACACACACACACACACACATATATATATATATATATATATATATAAAATGTAGTTAACAGACTAATAAAAATTCAAATTACTTAATTTTGATTTTTTTATCTATCTTTTAATTATTTTTGTTCTATTTTCGAATCTTGAACCATACCATCATTTATCCAGTTATCGTCTCTGTGGTCACCATTCCCCCTCCATCTCATAACTGTGGTTCATAGTGACATTCAAGGCGGAATAGTGCAACAGCTTACCGTTTCCTTTTGAACTGAG